TATTTGTTTACTCGACATAAACAACGAAGCAAACTTTTTTTGTCGCGCGCGGTGACGCAATGCCCTGAAAATAGTCGATCTATGCGCCATATGGTCGGTACGCTGAGCCAGAGTTGCAGCTTAACCTCAACCACCGCCAACGCCATTGCCGCTCGCCGTCGCCGTCTGGCCTAAATGTGTGTGTGGGCTGTTTGTGTGTTTGTGGTTGCCTCGCGCCGGTGATGTAAGCGCACTGGGGAAATGTATGAGTGGGAGGAAGGGGGAAGAAGGAAAGCCAAGCCAAGCCTGAGGTCGCCCTGAAAGGTGCGTGGGGTGTCAGGGAAACGGAGAATGGGCGGGGCTGATATTTCCGTCGCCGGCCCACACTGACAATTGCAGAGTCCAATGCCAGACACGACAGATGTGCTCCGCGCTGGGCCCACGCCAGATGACGTTATCGTTGTCGACGCCGGTGTCTGTGTCGGCGGAGTCTCATGAGCCAAGCAACGCACCAAAAATGGCATCGCCTGAGATATGTTAATCAGAGCTCAGGCCATACATAGGTACACAGGCAGACATAGTACATACACATTGTACATTGAATATAGCGCAGAGATCTCGAATGATTAATCAGACCATCAATCAATACTCATACATTTATTGAACTAAATTGTTAATTATGTATTTTCTTTGGTTTCTTTTCTTTATAGTTCTGGGAAATTATCTCCGACGAACATGGCATTGATGCCACCGGTGCCTACCACGGCGACAGCGACTTGCAGCTGGAGCGCATCAACGTGTACTACAATGAGGCGTCCGGAGGCAAATACGTGCCCCGCGCCGTCCTTGTCGACTTGGAGCCCGGCACCATGGACTCTGTTCGGTCCGGCCCCTTCGGCCAGATCTTCAGGCCCGACAACTTTGTGTTCGGACAGTCCGGCGCCGGCAATAACTGGGCCAAGGGTCATTACACAGAGGGCGCCGAGCTGGTCGATTCCGTGCTCGATGTCGTGCGCAAGGAGGCTGAATCCTGCGACTGCCTGCAAGGCTTCCAGCTCACACACTCCCTTGGCGGCGGCACTGGCTCCGGCATGGGTACCCTGCTGATTTCCAAGATCCGCGAGGAATACCCCGACAGAATCATGAACACATACTCGGTTGTGCCCTCGCCCAAGGTGTCGGACACCGTTGTGGAGCCCTACAATGCCACTCTGTCGGTGCACCAGCTGGTCGAGAACACAGACGAGACCTACTGCATCGATAACGAGGCTCTCTACGATATCTGCTTCCGCACCCTCAAACTGACGACCCCCACATACGGCGACTTGAACCATCTGGTCTCGTTGACCATGTCCGGCGTTACTACCTGCCTTCGCTTCCCCGGCCAACTGAATGCTGATCTCCGCAAACTCGCCGTGAACATGGTTCCATTCCCACGTCTCCACTTCTTCATGCCCGGCTTTGCCCCACTCACATCCCGCGGCTCCCAGCAGTACCGCGCCCTCACCGTGCCTGAGCTGACCCAACAGATGTTCGACGCCAAGAACATGATGGCTGCCTGCGATCCCCGTCATGGTCGTTACCTGACTGTCGCCGCCATCTTCCGTGGACGCATGTCCATGAAGGAGGTCGACGAGCAGATGCTGAACATCCAGAACAAGAACAGCTCCTACTTCGTCGAATGGATCCCCAACAACGTGAAGACTGCCGTGTGTGACATCCCGCCCCGTGGCCTGAAAATGTCCGCCACCTTCATTGGCAACTCCACCGCCATCCAGGAGCTCTTCAAGCGCATCTCCGAACAGTTCACTGCTATGTTCCGTCGCAAGGCTTTCTTGCATTGGTACACCGGCGAGGGCATGGACGAGATGGAGTTCACTGAGGCCGAGAGCAACATGAACGATCTGGTCTCTGAGTACCAGCAGTACCAGGAAGCCACTGCCGACGAGGATGCCGAATTCGAGGAGGAGCAAGAGGCTGAGGTTGATGAGAACTAACTTCTCAATTCGATGTTTTGCGAAAAATAAAACCAGGACAAAAGTTCAGTTGTAAAATGTTTCTTTTAACAACGTAATCAATAAAGTCAGATCCATTTTGTTCACATGTCTAATTGCTATTCTCAATATTTTTGTGGTCCTTGAGTCATTACATTGGGGTTAATTAATTAAAATGATCTGATTACGTTGAGCTACATAAGAGTTAAACCGAGTTTTACGAACTGTTGAAGGATGGGTTTGTGACTAGACTAAACGGCTACATATGTATGTACAAATTTGCCAAAATAGGGCGTGCAGAGAACGCGGCCATTGATTTGGGCATTAATCAACATCCATTAGCAAATTTTAACCTGCCCCAACGTTATATAAGTTAGACCCAGAAAATGCCCATTATTCAGGAATCGGACTGGATTGGAGGTGATTCTATTCAGTTTTCTTTCTAAAATCGGCCAACCTTCATCATAAATCAGATAAGTTGATTTATTAAAATATTATCGCCAAGTATGACGTCACAGATATTTTGTAAGAAGTTGTTTGGCTTTCCAGCACTGCACTATTGATTCCAGGGATACCATGCGATTTAATTGGGATAGAAATCGTTGTCAAAACGACTTACTTAAACGACTTTTCTCGACTTGCGACTTAATTTCTGTATATTTTTGACGTCGAAATTGGGTTTATATTTACGGTATATAAAGGTATACTTAATCAACCAATCTATTAAAGATAAATTTCAGAACATAGGGAATAGAAAATTCCAAACGCACCTTTTTTAAACTTCACTCTCTCAAATCGTACTTCTCTGCATAATTTATTCCAATGGATTGCACTCATGTTTTTATATGGTAGGTACTTTATCTCCTTGTCACTCATTTACTTTTAAAAAATTCCACCTTGGCGCGCAGCTCTATCTAGAATTTCCCTACATGTACTTTACATGTAGCAAAAGTGTACCTAACATATAAAAATAGGAAATTTGTGTTGACCTTTGTTGTTTAACCCTTATTTTAAACAAAATCAAATAAAAGAGACTACTCTTGTAGAAAATTGTTTTATCAATCGTATAAAATTATCTGTTCAGGGCTGAAAGTTCTAACTAGTTAGTAATCTTAAGCCGAACATAAAAATCGAGGATATGATTCTCTATCATGTACAGCGAACGATTAGACCTTTGTGTAACTCCACGAAAATTATAAATTTTGACTAGCTTTAACGCAGCTCAGGTGAAAGACATCATGGAAATTTTTTTTTAGGAAATTAACTCAAGTCATTCACCTGTTCAAATAAAGGAGGGTTAAGTGGGTTAAGCTGGATTTTTATCGGTACATTTGCGGTATATTTGAGTGTCAGACCGTATATCAGGGTGAACGTTTCTGGAATTTGTAATACTTTTCGATATTTTTTGAGGTAAACATTAAACCGACGGTATATTTACGGTATATCGGTAATTTTTTATCAATCTTTAAATTTCATTTTCAACGGTATATAGAAATCCAATAATAGCAAGTATTTCGAATAGACCAATCATGTATAGAATTGATTCATCAATCGAATTTGAGTTCCCGCAGTTCGCTTTAGCAACAATGAGTCCCATTCCATACACAAACATGTTGCTAATTCCATGCACACATACCCTGGGGGAAATGGATGTTATAGAATTGTGAAAATGTTTGTCTTCCAAGGCTCAGTAGGTATCAGGATCGAGATAAATATATGCAAGATACTAATAATGTACTTGAATGTGTCTAAAGAATATCAATTTGAGAAAAGGTCCTAACAAATTACGTTTCATCTTCACATAAAATTGACAAAATAGGGTGTACAAAGGTTATACACGCAGCATGTCATCAAATACCAGTTGTTGAACTATTTTGTTTAAACCTTGTTTTAATCAAAATACAATAAAAGCCAGGACTAAAAACTAACCAATTGTGTAGAAAATTGATTCATTAATGGGCTAAAATTATGTGGGCACGGCTAAATGTTCTATATAGCCAATAATATTCAACGGAATATCAATAACGAGGAATATTAAAATAGAACTTGAATTCGTTAGTATATTTACGGTATATTTTTAAAATGAGATGGTATATTTTGGTATACTTCTGAGGTATATTTTTCCGATAAGTCAGTATATTCGATTGACACAAGTAAGTTGAAAAAATAAATAAAATAGGGCAAATTTTTGCAAATAAATGCTTTTTACCGAAATCTGTTCCAACAAAGATGATAGCAATGGATGAGCAGCGCAGCGACAAAATCTATGGCGGATGCGAGGGCCCGGACGCCATGTATGTCAAGCTAATTTCGTCGGACGGCCATGAATTTATTGTAAAACGGGAACACGCTCTCACCTCTGGAACCATCAAGGCGATGTTATCCGGCCCAGGACAATTTGCCGAGAACGAGGCTAATGAAGTGCACTTTCGGGAGATTCCGTAAGTTCAATCCAAACTGCAGTCCCGCTGGGGGCTATCTTAGGCCGCATAATCCATTCTGACCTATTGACCGGCGGCGACTTTGCACAATACATACACACATCATTCCATAGAGGCATGCATGAATGTGTGGATGCACATTAGTGCTGAAACACACTAAACTTAAAGAAAATGCCCAGTTTCTTTAAATGATAATCAAATCGTACATTCTGCATACGTTTTGAGGACACTCGTGCTTTTGGGATTACCAACCACCGACTGAGCTGATATTCGTGTTGTTTATTTTCAGGTCGCACGTCTTACAAAAGGTCTGCATGTACTTCACTTACAAAGTACGCTACACCAATAGTTCCACTGAAATACCCGAGTTTCCAATTGCACCAGAGATCGCATTAGAACTTTTAATGGCGGCTAACTTCCTAGACTGCTAAATTATTGGTTAACTTTATATACTTTATTATCAATTAAACAAGGGGAAAGCAAACTTGAATAAAGCCTAATTTTTGCCTGTGTTAATTTTTAATGAATCAAGATGATTGTCTCTGTAGGCGAGAAAAAAAATAAAATTCTGTTAATTTCTTAAACGACAATAATTCCTTGTTTAAAAATAACCCTTTTATTTAACTGAAGAAACATTCGCAGGCTTTGAGCATCATTTGCTATGCTTGGACTTGGCTTTGGAGGCGTCCTTGTTGCTTAGCATGGCGAAGCGCATTTGCTGGACCAGCCACTGGACACCTTCGCCGAGGCCCTCGCCGGATATGGCATTGCTGGAGCAGATGTGCCAGGGTTTCTCCTTGATGTTTTCCAAACTGAGTGCTAAAAAGTTATGGTCGATATGTATTTACTGACACACATAGTTATGAGGAGAACTGGGAGCACCTGCTGCTATTTTGACGCTGGATAGGGAATCCTCTGCGTCCGATTTGTTTCCATAAAAAAGAATTGGCACAGTTCGATTGCACAAATGGGGATGCTGTAGCACCAGATCCAACTCATCTTTCACCACAACTGAAATGTAAAGGATAGCTGAGCAATTGGATGTGGAATCAATGTGAATTCATGTTAAGATACCGAATCTCATGCGATCACTGGAGTCAATGACGTATATAATCCCCTGGCAGTTCTTGAACTGATGCTCCCAAAGGTTCCTGTAGCGTGTGGCGCCCGACATATCGATCGCCTTTATGCTAACTCCTGCCATGCCTGTGCAAGAATGATAGATATTCATCAATGGAAGAGGTAGGCATAGCATTCGTCCTGGCGGAACTTACTGTAAAACTGCTCCACCATAAAGCCCACTGTGGGAACCATAATGGCTGACTGGTCACCCGGTTTCTTGAAGTGGTTGACTATCGTGGATTTGCCGCTGTTGTTCAGGCCCAGTACTAGAATCGTCATTTTGTCCTTTTTGATTTTAATCAAATCGGCCAAATTGTGCAACATTCCCATTTTACTGTTTAACTGGCATCCGCCGCAATTGTTTATAAGCTTCACTACGATGTTTCTGACATGTTTGGCCCCGCAAAGGACTTTGGATTGCCATGGCAACAATATCCTCAGTGTGAAGGCATCGATTTATTGAAAGTTTCGACTGCCTTCAACTTTAGCACCTGCTACTACCACTCCCGCTGTGGCCGCAGAAATTTCAAGTTCACCTTCTGGCTGACTTTGGCCAACTCGCCCTCGCCCACACCTGAACAACAACTGGGGCATGGAAACATTAACACTGCTCGAGTATAGTATGTACATGTAGCATATCGAGCTATTTCTTCGTGGATTATTTCCTAATCTCAATCTAAATCAAAACTTATATAAAACATGAATAACGTTTCGACAGAATCCAAGGTTTATTGTAGAATTCATCTTAAAAAAACATTGTTACGATAGGAGCTTCTACTGTTTCTTGCTGTTCAGAATGATGCCATCGTACTTCTGCTGGAACCATTTCATGGCATCCTCCTTTGTCAGGCGGTGAGGGAAGCCCACAGTTCCGGACTTGCGCTTCCTGTGGTTCACATTGTAGCCTGAAACGGTGTAAAAAGAATAGGTAAGAAATATGCCAACAAGGTTTTGGAAAAATTCAGATAATGTGGAAATTGTACCGTATGGATTCGCATTAGTGCAAATCCCTTTGAGCACATCTTCATTTCTTTGCGCACATTTACTGAGTATCAATGCCTAGTCTGGTAGAGATACCTAATTAAGTGCACATTCGCTTAACGGCGAAGTTTTTCTCTTGCTTACCTGGACGGCCCAGGACGACGTAGAAGTCCAGACCATAGATACCGATCGAGGGATCGTACTTAATACCCAAATCGATATGTTCCTGGATGCCGAAACCGAAGTTGCCGGTGGAGGAGAAGTTGTCGCGTCTCAGCTCGTACTCGCGCACCTTCAGACCACGCTCCAAAATCTCTTCAGCCTTGGCGCCGCGCACGGTGCAGTGGACAGCGATCTTCTCATTACGACGAATGCCGAAGGAACGCACTGTGTAGCGGGCCTTGGAGAACACTGGCTGCTGGCCAGTCAGCTGCTCCAGCACCTGTGTTTGAAGACAGTTTTTAGTTTACTTGAACAGACAACAGTCGTGTGTACACAAAAGAATAGTTACCTTAGCGGCACGGGTCAGCCTATCACCGGATTCACCAACGCAGATGTTCAAGCACAGCTTCCTGATGTGCAGGTCGCGCATCGGGTTCTTCGCCGGGTCGCGCTTAATTTTGGGTTCCTTCTTAGCAACGGCCTGAAACAATCAATGAATTTCGTTACTTGGGAGCCGTATTCGCGTTAAATATAGCTTCGGGTGGCATATTGCGAACGTCCACATAGTTTTGACGATTTCACTTTTCACAAATATAGGTAAATAATAGCCGATGCGGGGCAATTTATACGCCACTCAAAATTTCGTATAAACCTACCGCCATTATGGTATGTGGGAAAGAAAGGAAAGAAGCGTGTTACAGTTCAGTGTCATCTAGAGACAGTAGAGCCTGCAAAACCATCGATATTTCAATGTTACAATATTTGTGGACTATCGATGTTTTTCCTCTGAAATACGAACGGTGCAATGTGATTGACTTTGTAGGTAATTTAGGGAAATTTTAAGAATTTTAATTGCTTCTGTATTATTCCGTATTATGCAGTCTGTGGAAATGGAAATATTTTCATAATATTTTCGGAAGATGTACGTAGGACCTGAGTACCCCTCTTATTTTTATGAGTACCACAACTGTCACTATTGAATGATATCGATGTTTCCCTCTACAATTTTGAATGGCCTAGTTAATAGTTGCCATGAAAAAGAAAAAATAGAAAAAAAAGAAAATTATAGCCTAGATTGACTAACTCAGACGAAATATTTGGTCGACCAAATCAGGGATGATAGTCGTATGGAAGCGATATAAAATCTGAGATCGAAAGTGCAGAGATCTGTGCGATATTAACTGCCGTACCGTACTAGAATATGTCGGCATATCCCGGAAAATACCAAACTTTTTAGTGCCAATGACCATTGCATTCTTGTAAAACTGGAGCCGTTCAAAATATCCGTTGACCCCATATATTCACTTTCATTAGCTTAATTTGGTCGTAAATGAATTAAAATGAATTCAGAAATTCGAAGCACCATTTCAACAATTAAAGATATTAGAATGAGTAATTAGCACCCGGAGCAATAGCCGTATGCCACTGCATTTCAATTTAAGAGGGGGGCGCAGCATTAAAACTCTTTTAGAGACAATTCTCTAGAATTTATGATTTGTTGATGGAATTGGTGGATTCGCAACTTAAGAGAAACGGTAATGAAAAAACTGGGCCTAAAAACTTACGCCATTGGAAATAATAGTGTAGTGTCATATGTATGTAATATTAGGCTTATTTACCAACAGGTTGACTATCTTGAAATGAATGCATTACAAAGACTTTTTGTAATAAATACTAAATATTTAATTGGACACTCACAGACATCAATATAAGTACAATTAAAGCAGCGCATTGAAAGGCATGTAAACAGTAGACAAATTAAGACATAAATAATACCCCCATACCCATTAGTTAGTAGTTCGCAATTTGAGACTAAATATATTTGTAGGAATCTACGCCTCGCTCTTTTGCCGATTCTGCATGACCTGGCGCAGTTGCGGGAACGTGCTTTTTGTCTGTGCTGGATGAACACGAGCGCACAGAGACGTGAACGGCTCGTACAATGAAGGGCGTTCCATGGCATTGACTGTGTAGTGCTTTATACGCTCCCGCTGGCACCAGATGTTTGCCCGGTCCATAATCTTTTCGACGGGGTTAGGCGTTGTTGGTGGTGTGTCCCTCTTAGCCCGGGCTCGCACATTGGCCAGTACAATGACAGGGATTTCCTTCTTTTCCTTATGCTTGTCAATGTCTGACTTAATGTCTGCCAGCATATCTAAGCTTCGTGGATCAATGGGGTCATAGACCAATACAAAAGCATCAGGGAATTGTAAGTAGTGCCGCGGCAATTGAGCCGCCTGCTCGCCCTGCAGTCCAGCTGTGTCGTAGATGCGTAATGTTTCACGAGCCCCTCCACGGCCCGTGTCGCAGCTGGCAACATAGATGTCCTCAATGGTAGGATGGAGTTCCTGAAGCAAACAAATTTTGTTTTAAATGCACGCTTTCACATTTATGAATTCAGTTTATGTAGGTCTTTAGCGGGGCAGGAGGTGTATCGCAGTACTCGTGATACTCTTAGTGCACTCTTACAATGTCTACGTTTCATTAAATGAATCAAAATCAATTTCAATTCGAAAATAGTTTTTGTTTGTATGCAGCACACTGCACACACACTGCCCCACTTAGGCCGTGCTAAATCTTGTTTTGTCTACTCACTGTGTCTGGATTTAGGTTTCCATAAACCAACTGCTCAATTACTGTTGTCTTACCAACGCCTTTCATGCCACATACCAACACCTTGCCAACTTTACCAACTTTTGCGTTGAGCATTTTAGTTTTTACGTTTTTAAGTCTTGTAGGGGTGTCATATATTTAATTATCGGTGCACAAAAATATCGGTAGTTAAAAACGAATAGGCGTTTTGTTTTGAAAATACAAATTGCAATACACACATGTGCTTGTCCACCGGTTGTCACTATGATTATAGATGTAAAAAATATCAAAAACGAGGAATATGTGTAATAAAACTTGAAATCGTCAGTAAATCCACGGCATAGTTTTTAAATGAGACGGTATGTTTTGGTATATTTCTTGGGTCGGACGGTATATTTTATCGAAAATCAGCGGTCACACTGCTAATCATGGACAATGCTGCAAAAGTTTTTTCCGACGCATAATTCCGCACTTTCGACGTGAAAAACCTAAAAACCTATTAAAAAACTGTAAAAAGACAGCTCAAAACAATTCTGTGCCTTTCGACGTCATAACTTGTAGGAAAACGTGTTTCGTGGCTGGAAAATAAACGCTTAAACATTGCTAGCGGCATCTTAGAAAATTCGCTTAATTGGTTATTGAATTTTCAACCCCGACGAAGAGAAAAAAATCAAGATTCCCTTAACTACAAGCTAACGATAGTGGGAACGAAGTTGAGTTGGTAAATTGAATTGAAATGAGTGAATTTCAACCGCAACAAGGACAGAGTATCAGTCAATCCCAGGCGTTGGCTCAGGCGATACAGCGTGCCAAGCAGGTAAGAAGAAGAATACATACGCGAAAACGAGGGAAAATTCATTTATTTCTGTACACACGTTTTGTGTGTATCTGCCATTCGTTTGCAGATAGCGGCTAAGATCCAACCCAGCCAGCAGGCAGGCGGTCCAGGAGGACCTGGAGCAGGACCATCACCACCTTCTGGTGGCGGCGGGCCGGGACCCGGTGCGGGCAACAACTTCAAGAGGCACAACGACGACGGTGATAGCGGACCAGACTGCAAGCGCTCTTTTGGCAGTCCGGACTACGGCCACAACAACAACTCCAACATGAGCAGTAGCAGCGGTGGCGGTGGAGGTGGCGGAGGGGGATCAGGTCCGGGCGGTGCAAACATTACGCAAGCCATTGCCCAGGCAGCTGCAGTGGCTGCTCGCCTGGCGGCATCGGCCGGAACAACGTGCGAGGAGCAAATCCGCATACCCGAATCCATAGCGAATGCCTTTATGGGACGTGGCAGCAACGACACCATCACTCATATCCAGGCCGAGTCGGGGGCTAAGGTACAGTTGATGCCGGAACAGGAGCGAGTCATTACATTGCGTGGCCAACGGGACACCGTGTCCAAGGGGCGAGATATGATCCAGCAGATGGCCAGCCGCGGTGGTGGCGGAACCGTGGAGGTACTACTAACCATCAACATGCCGCCTCCGGGACCCAGTGGCTATTCGCCCTACCAAGAAATCATGATACCCGGAGCCAAGGTGGGCCTGGTCATTGGCAAGGGTGGCGACACCATAAAACAGCTGCAGGAGAAGACGGGAGCCAAGATGATTATCATCCAAGACGGACCCAATCAGGAGGTTATCAAACCTCTGCGCATTTCCGGCGATCCGCAGAAGATCGAGCATGCTAAGCAGATGGTCTTGGATCTCATCGCCCAGAAAGACGCACTGGCTCAGCAGCAGGGTGGACGCGGGGGCGGTAGTGGAGGAGGAGGCGGTGGTGGCGGAGGCGGTGGCCCTGGCCTCGGCTACAACAACTTCAACAATGGCAATGGCGGCGAGAGCGTAGAGGTCTTTGTGCCAAAAATCGCCGTCGGCGTTGTCATTGGCAAGGGGGGAGACATGATCCGAAAGATTCAAACCGAATGCGGCTGCAAGCTGCAGTTCATCCAGGGCAAGAACGATGAGATGGGCGATAGACGCTGTGTGATCCAGGGCACACGCCAACAAGTCGAGGACGCCAAGCGGACCATCGATGGACTGATCGAGAACGTGATGGTATGTCGCACTAGGGAGTAGGAGGCAATAATCTAAACGAACTTTGGTTCATTGACCTCTTTCCATTCTATTCCACAGCAACGAAATGGCCTGAACCGCAATGGGAATGGCGGCGGCTCCCAAAGTGGCGGCGAAGGAAACTCCAACTACGGCTATGGCTATGGCGTAAACCATGCCCAGGGCGGACGTGAGGAGATCACATTCATGGTGCCAGCATCCAAATGCGGTGTAGGTTGAGGGCGAACCTCCTCTGGCCCTCCACCACCTATCCTAACTGAAATTTGTACCTTGCAGATTGTAATTGGACGTGGCGGAGAGACGATTAAGCTGATCAATCAGCAATCCGGCGCCCATACCGAAATGGATCGCAATGCCAGCAATCCGCCCAACGAGAAGCTGTTCAAGTCCAAGGGCACCACCGACCAGGTGGAGGCGGCCCGTCAAATGATTTCTGAGAAGATCAACATGGAGCTCACTGTTATTGCCCGCAAGCCCATTGGTGGTGGTGGCGGTGGAGGCGGCGGTGGCGGTGGTAATGGCTCTGGAGGTGGACCCAGCAATTCCCATCACAGTCAGCAGCAGGGCGGCTATGGTGGACCCAATCCAATGCAAGGCGGCGATCCGAATGCCGCCGCTGCAGCAGCGTACCAGCAGCAGCAACAGCCCTGGGGTCCCTATGGCCAACAGGGATGGGATCCGTCTGCGGCCCAGCAACAGCAGCAAATGGCAATGGCCGGTGGAAATCAGGGCGGTGGACCTGGTGGCTCGGGTGCGAACGCTGGGCAGGACTACTCGGCCCAGTGGATCGAGTACTACAAGTAAGAATTTTAAGCTGGTCTCCTCCATACATATCCGTCTAACAAATCAATCAACTCACAGGCAAATGGGCTGCCATCGCGAGGCTGAATTGATCGAGCAACAGATGAAGGCCAAGCAAGGGGGCGGAGCACCTGGTCCCGGTCAGCAGGTGCCGCAGCAGCCACAACAGCAACAGCAAGTGCCGCAGCAGGCACAGCAGCAGCAGGCATCCGGCGGCAACAGCGCTGACTATAGCGCCCAGTGGGCGGAATACTACCGCAGTGTGGGCAAGCACGAGGAGGCAGAGGCGATTGAGAAGACGTTGAAGAATAAGGTGAGTCGAAAAAGTGGTTGAGCTCTGGTTAAACAATCGCTAAATTCTGTCGTTGGGGCACTTTTGATGCCTTGCAGCAATCACAGAACGGTGGACCTGCTGTTGGCCAAAGCAATGCGCAAAACCCCAACCAAGGCGGCCCCAATCCCGGCCAGCAGCAGCAGCCCAATCCAGCGGCGGCAGCAGCGGCCGCTGCTGCAGCAGCCGGTGGCTATGCACAAGGTATGACTCCTAGCCAATATGCACAATATTCACAGTATTACGCTGCTGCGGCTGCGGGTCAGCCCCAAGCACCACCGCAGCCCGGCGGTGGTCCGCCCGCTGGTTATCCCGGTGGATATCCGGGTGGTGGCTATGGCGGCTACCCGGGTGCGCCGGGACAACAGCAGCAACAGAAGCCGCACAAAAATGACAAGCATTGATGTGGCGAGAAGATCGAAGTAGGAGTCGGAGTCGGAGTAGAGATGGTAGCTGTAGCTGGAGTGGAAATTACTCCACTTAACGGATGTGGCAGGTGCCTTGAATTGGGTGAGTGACAACCAAGTGACAAACCGTAGTCCCAGTAGTTGATAGACGGAACATTTCTTTCGTGTTGAACTGAAAATAGCTGCCATTAAATGATTGCTTTACGTATATTTGCTTTACCTTTCTGCTTTAATTGCCTGCTTCATTTTAGTGATCAGCCCTTCCCTCAACTTTTTATGTATACATACGTACTAGTACTATATATATGCTTACACTATGTGATATCCTAACCAAATCTCGTTTACCATGCGTACAACTCTTTGCAGTGATCTATTGTTCCACTATGTCCTATGTCTTTTATCCCCCACAAGCTAGCAAAAAATAAAAGCAAAACATAAGATTAAAAGTTTTTAACCGCAACAACAGCAATACGAAGAATCACAGAGAAGGGATGAGACGAGAAGTGCACAGAAGGGAAGGGAAGCGAAGTCAGAGAGAACGAGAGGATCCATCAGTCAAACAAGTCAAATCATTCTAGCTTGTGGCGTCGCACTTTTGCATAATTGTAAATTAATATATTAACACTATGATTTCTCCATTAGTACATAAGTAAGCCCCCCTGAAAGCCGAACTCTACTTTTATATTTGTATTTATATTTATCTATAAACCTAACTGAAAAGAAAAGAAATTGCCTCTGCTGTCCACGTTCAATAGCACAGAGCCATTCAAACACACAGTAGACTCAAACCAAATCAAGCCAAGCCAATCCAATCCGTTTTTGGTGACATATAGTACATCTATCTGCATATGTATATCTGAATATAATTTCTTTCCTCGTCAAGCGAAATGAATGAGCGAACGGCAGTGGAGAGTGGAGAGTGCTGAGCGTTTTTTACACTTGAAAGACAACATTTTTGAGAGTTCTCAAATTGCAATAACTGAAATATATAGAATTATATTAATATACATCCATATACTTACATACATATATATTACCTATATATCGAATGTAGCCCATAAATGATGACCGTTTTTGATATATGAACATATTTCTCTCGTACTTAGCTTAGTGTTATTACAAAAACCGATTCAAGCAATACACGAAGTTCGATATCTGGTGATCTGGTAAGACTTTGCAACTTGTTAAACGTACTCTTCATAAGATTCTGAAAGTCCAGGGCCTTGTCTGAAATTTTTGTTAAGTGGAGTGCAGTGGAGTGGAGTGGAGTGGATATTGAAACCAACCCGAATTGTTTTGATTTGATGATAATAATTAAACACATGCTCGTTCAATATATAACTTTCACCTTTCAGTTTGTGGAGAAGATATACCTTACTTAATAGCCTTACGATCAACCCAAGATTCAATATAATTAGACTTGATTTCGTACTGTACTCTATTTTCTGTACTATATATAGGACTATATCGTATCTTAACTGGTGAAACTATTTTCAATATATATTTTCTTTAAAACAAAAACTCATTTCCCAAGGTACAAGGAATAGAATAATATCACGCCACATTTCCACCATATATTTCAATATCTACATATATTACCATATGCCACCCTATATTATACATACATATGCCAACATATATGTACTTTCAGAGGGGCCATTCGTCAAGCCAGTTCATAACAGAAATCCGAAAGCAAAACTCCAGAACAGAACTCCTTCACACTCTCTAATTGAACATGAACAGATACGAAATATTAAATTGTAAAAGTGTCAAGCTTGGTAAGATCGTGTGTTCTTGTTACTGTCTATATAAAACATATTGATATACAAACGTACATATATGAAAATCTAACAATGATATGATAAAACTTACCCATATGAAAAGTTGGTCTACCATAATATTTAAATATTAATTTGAATAATCTAAACTAAGTTTTACGTCTCACCAATACATCTGAATGTTGCAACAGCAGATGAACAACAACAATTTGTAAACGCTGGCCGGCAGGGCAGGCTCAGAGCTCAATGCGGATCTGATCTGCCCGCAGCCGTCGAGACATTGAATAAACATTTAATATAATACCATATATAATATATATCCCACATATATATATACTTATTATAAATCTATTCTCAGCATATGGCACTCAACAGTGCTCTATGCCCCATTGCGTTTCTATTGACTTTAATGTTTTTTTGTCTTTTTTTCCTATTGACTATTGTCTATTGCCATAATTGAAAATCGTTTCTCGAGCGTATTTTCAGGGGCGCTGTTGTGGTCTTGGCGTTGGAGAATATCTGGGGGAACAGGCAAAGGACAGGCTTTAACTTTTCCTAGTCGATTGATTGGTTGATTGATTAATTGCTTGCTTCAGTGCCACGATCGGTATGCCTTGAAAAATATTGGAAAACGATTTTTACATATACAATTGCCTTATCTTATCGAAATGCACTTTTATAATATTGATATTTGATTGATATGATTACGCTGACATATGATATACATGAACATCTATTTTTGTGTGCAAACTTTACATATATATATATATATATATTTCTATATATTTTCATAGCAACTGCGACGATATCCGATATACCAAACAGTGCAGTGCAGTGCAGTGCTCCCTCCCCAGAGTAGACTTCAGTCGATCATGAACATAAACAGATAATTATGTGTATAGTTTCAAGGTATCATTTGTTTGCTATATATTCGGATAACATTGCCTCCAAAGCCCATCTATATCTACATATGTATATCTATATTGATCCACCATTTGTATACTGTATATTGTCTAACAACTCCTCTCAAAGTGTGGCATAGGTCTGGGTCTAGGAAGGGTTTGAATAGTATCGGTACAAGGCATATCTCAAAAAGTTTGATGTACATATGGAATTCTGCTAGTTTAGATTGGCCTAGACCTGTTTTATATAAGATCGGGAAGTCGTTTGTCCTCCTTTAGTTTCAGCAAAGGTTTCGTATCCCCTGATGACCTCCTGTTCGATCTGCAGAGAGGTAAGTATGGTCCATCTACCCTTAGAAGTCCATTTTAAAACCCAATTCCGTTCAGCATTTTTTTGGATCCAATGTCAAGCCGTTTATTTTGCAATCAAATGATATTTTTGAAATTGATACATAGATGTATTTCTTTATATTTGATTTAAATTACGTGCTTTGATCTATTTGCAGGGCCAATTGAATATACCAAAATCCTTTTCTCCCTTTCAATAACTCATATTAACATATGCATAGATACATAGATATTATATCGTATTTTTTTAACCAGAAATTGGAACATATATATATTTTTTGTTGTTGTTTTAATAACATTTGTTGATATATCCATATCTTTTGAAAACATATATATAACTGAACCATGAAATATCTGCAATTTACAGCCCTATCTGCGTGATCTTCGTATATTCGGCTGGTCAGAGTCTGATCGATATTAGTTTAACCTTTCAACTTGCAATAGATCGTAAATCGTATATACCCAATAAAATGTCATCAATATTGAATATTCCAATTTTCTCAAATAAATTTCCCCATCTTAAAACCACAAAACGATACCGTTTATTGTATGGAGTTCATGTAGGGTGCCAGGGGCAAAAAAAAAACAATAATAATTTCTTACCACATGCACACCCCATCCCCTCCCCTTCCCTACCATTAGTTATTTCAGCACACAGATTTGCTTTTACTTAACTTCTCGTATTTTATTACTGATATATATATCATTTCTTGTTCATCTCATCCCTTAAGCATTTCGCAACGAAACATTTAAAGTTAGAACAACAGAATATGTTTATATATTTATAGAGCTTAGTGCCTGCTAGATCGATCCAACCATCCATTTCAGCTGGATTCGTCAGGCATTCAATTACATACTCCTCTGACTACCTCATATTGTAAACTCTTAAACTAGACGACATACATACATAGTACAGTGCGTATCAGTAGGTATAATAGTTTGGGCAATTCAACATACATCAATTTGTTTTTATTTGTATAATTTTGGATTTTTGATCTGCTATTTATGAACGAGTTTACTACAAGAAAACTTACATTGAGAATGCTGATGTTCTAGATATATATTGTGAATTTGTTCTGTACGATTCCTTTCGTCGATAATTCAACATTTTGCTTGATATCCATTTTGTGTTATGTACTGCCTTTTTTCTTTTTAAAATTAACATACATCTATTTCCGCCTTTGTTTACATTTATAAATATTTATAATATTTAACTCTTTCATTCATTTATTTGATGCACTCATCCGTGGCGTGTGAGCGTGTTCCCATTTGCGTTATGTTGCCGAGAAACCTATGTATCTCTTCTCTTCCTTTCAATCCTCAACTACTAGGGGTGATGGTGAAGCACTTGATCTGAATAGGATTATGGGGGTGCGGCGGGAGGGGATACTGGAAACTTCCGTTGGGGATCATCAATTAATTATCATTCAATTCACTCGCTCCTCTCTGCCGTGCGTGTGTGTGTGTCTGCGCCTTAAAACTACAGTTACTCGCCCAAAGTTGAATTTTTTTACATTGCCAAAAAGTGTTGCAATAATTTAAATTTTAAGTCTTCTTCCATTTACTTGCAAAGTGGCTTAATTCCTTCATTCATTATTATGTTTTTGTACTGCTGCCAGTGTGTGAATTTTGGATATTTATTTTTCCTTTTTCTTCTTTCGATTTTTACTTTTACTTTCTTCTTTTTTTGTTTTATTTATCTTGCCTTAACTTTAAATACATAATTTTTTGTTTTGAATGTCAATCAAAGTAGCTACATGTTAGTACGTTTTTTAAGCTGATTTTTACAAATTTCTCCTTGGCTTAATTTACACACATTTTGCAGAGCTGTCAAGAGCACATTTAGCCATTAAATAAATGAAAGTTAAAGCGCGGGGGCGTCGCTTTCTGGGATCAAAAAGAAGTTATATATACATGTGAATATATATAAGAGTGGACAGGAGACGACATTGTATTTTGCGAATGACTCTGTCGTTGAGTTAACTTGAGTTAAGATTAACTGCAGATAGCTTTACGAGCACAAATCATCATATACTTATAGGAGAGCTAGAGTTACTTTTCTTGAACTACGCCGAACGTCGGATGGTGTTGAAACAGCTCTCAAAGTGTGGCAAAGGTTACTTTTCTGCCGCTGTTTGTTTTATTTTGCTTGGTTTGTTTACAGGACCTGGCCCTTCCTCCGGCTTGAAGATGCCCCCCGTCTTCGTTTTATGTCGCAATTAACTGTAGAATAGGGATTGCGATTAGACCGATCATTAGGCAAAGATACCAATTCACTGATGTTTGCTTACCGCTTTTACTGTGGCCTTAATGAAGTCTTTCTTTTCTGTTAGATCAAATTCTGGATATTTCGCATAGACTTGCTTGCAAACTGTTTTCATGGTAATCTCCTCCAAATTTGCCTTATCCAATATTTCTTTGACATAGCCGCGTATTTGCTCATCCTGCAATCAAAAGGTATACCATTCCACACGATTTAAGATCGAACTAGCAATAGCCAGAGCTCGCGGCTACTCACCGTTGGGAATGCCATTTTGCCCTTTTTGGTTAGTGGCTCATCCTCGTCAGACTCATCTTTGTCATCGACATCATCATCCTCCTCCTCGGACGATTCTTTCTTTGATTTTTTTGATCGACCATCGGCTGGATGCATCGAGCAGAGAGAGGCAGGAGGTTAAAAAATAATTAATGGTTCAAAGGTGCTGGTAAGCTTACCCTTTCCAGCTGGTTTTGACTTGTTATTAGCTTTGCTATTTCTCGCAGGCGTTGTGGGCTTCCTACTCTTCTTGGGGCGTACATCCTGCAAGATGGAGATGTTACTACCTTTCCCCTCTTTGCCCTCCATGTCTGTTATTTCGCTTACCTCACTTTGGTCGCTGCCAAACTCCGACAGTTCCTCCTCCTCCTCATCTTCGGAAATGTCATCCTCTTCGCTGTCGGAATCTTTGCGTTTTCGCGCAGGTGCCCCCCGTCCACGTCCCCGTCGTCCAGCCGCGGCAGTGACCGCCGGTCTCCCACGCTTACCAGTTACGGCTGGGCGCTTGCGCTTCGGAACCTTTTAGAAGTGTAGAAAGATCGTTGTTGGTTAGAAGGTGACTTGGAAGGGCACAGGGGTAGACATACATCGCTATCGGCATCGGATAGTTCGGACTCCTCTTCTTCCTCAGAATCCGAATTTCTTCGCCGACTCTTGCGCGCTGGACGACCCCGACTGCCTCGTGCAGACACGTTGCGACCAGCTTTAGCGGCACCACCACCGCCACCGCCGCCGCCACGACCGGCATCAGAGTCTGAATTGGCCGAAGGATTGTACTGTAAATGATGGTGTAAATTAGAGAATCTCGTTTTTGCATTATCCGCTGCAATACTTACGTCTGAACCCGACTCTGAGTCATCGTTGCGTCTCCGCTTGGTCACCGGAACTTTCTGCTCGCTCTCCTCTGAGCTGGAGAAGTCCACGTACGCAGACATTTCTGAAAGCAGACGACACAAAGGTCAGGGTTAAGGATCTTCTCGAACTAATGATTATATTTGACTTACTTTTGCCAGCCGTCGTGCGCCGGGGACGTCCACTGGAGTTGCGAGCCGAGCCTCTGCCGCCGGCACCCGACTTGCTGCTCTTGCGTTTCTTGTCATCCTCGCTGACTTCTTCCTCTTCTTCGTCCAGGTCGTCCTCGTCTGGCTCCTCCTCGTCTTCGTCGCCCTGCTCCAAGCACAGCGATTCGTCCGGCTCCATTAGAAATTTGAGCACTCTCATTACAATTTCATTCTTGCTGCCTTTCCGATCCAATGTGAGAATCTCGCAAATGCTCCGAAGTCCTTTGTTGTCCACCTTCTTGATGGCATCGAGTTTCTTGTTGTATTCCGTCGAGTCCTTGGCGAATTCGAATCCAGCAAAGGAGCGCAGATTCTTCTTCACAACATTGTTCTTGCCTTGGGCCCCAAAACAGAGCTAAAACAGATTTGTATATTCGATGTTAAGTCAATTGTTCTCCGAATGATAATCTCATTTCGTCCGCTCACCGCATGTAGGGTCTGTAGCCCGTCGACACGAGTCTTGTTGATGTTCTCATTGATGCGATCAATCTCCGCCAAAGCCACTACATTCTCATCGTCCTCTGCCACCTCATTGTTCTCATCCAAGCCATCGTCCTCGTCAGCATCTCCGGCTTCCTCGTCGTCGTCGTCGTCCTCAGCCTTCTCCACCTTACCATTTTTGGGCTTGGACAATGGTTTCTTGGCTGGGGCCGATTTGTCAGCTCCCGTAACTGTCTTTCCCTTGGCCCCATCCTTGGCATCACTACCTTTGTGTTTTTCGTCTGCAGCGGTTTTAGTGGTCCTGTCGCTCTCCTCATCGCTAGCCTTGTCCTCGTCATCGTCCTCCTCATTCCCTTGAGTATCGGCATCGTCTTCGTTTTCATCTTCATCCTCCTGTTTTGCATCCTCCTTCTTTGAATCCTTGCTGTTGTTAATGCTAACCTTCTTCACAGGATCAGGCGATACCTCCGTTTTGTCCGATGCGCCTGCGCAAACACAGAAAAAAAAGGATTAAAACTGATTAGAAATTTCTGTACATCAAAGAAAGGTTAATTGCTGGAAAAAGGAATTGTCTTCAGCCTTGGGAAGTCCAGAGCTAACTTCACTTAGGAGCGCAAGGAACTATGAATACTGAAAATGTTGCTATACCTCGGCCTTTACTACGCAAAACCCCATTGGTAAGGATTAGCATGAACAATAGCCAAGGAAAAACGAAAATTATCTTTTACTCCGATGGGAGATAGGAGGATTTTCGCTCTTGTGGGGTTCGAACCATGGATCATATACATTGATAGTCAGGAGAGAGTATACCGAACAGCTTAGACGACAGCGCCACACGGAAACTCTTAAAATAAGCAGCAGAGAGCCAATAGGAACACGCACACACATATGCATGTGGGCCGGCGACCGCATGTCCCCCCTACCACTACACTCTCTGCTGGGGACAGATGAAAATGAACCCATTTCGCCGCGTTGCGAAACGCGCGCAAAATTCATTTTATGATTTTTGTTTTTCTCGCTCTTTCTTCACCAACACCAACGAGCACGATTAATACGACATTGCTACATAGGCAGGCTGTCGTTGTGTGCGCGTGGCTTTTATTTACCTGCATCCGAGTCGGGGGTGGGGGCTTCCACTGTGTCTCCTTTGGGCTTTTTATCAGCGACGTCATCAGCGGTGGTGGCGGAGGCCCCGTCGTCGTCGGGGGGTGTCGTTGCATCGGATCCCTGCTCGGCTCCTTTGGACTCTTCATCATGGTCCTCGGCGGCCGCTGCTGCATTCTCCACTGCCTTCGCCTCGTTTACCTTGTCGGCGGCATTCTCTTTGGTTGCCGTTTCTGCCGCTTTGTTAGCATCCTGGTAATAGAGTGGAAAGAGATACAAAATCACAATTTTATTTCACTTGCTAATTTTTGGCGGCGACCACCATCTACCATTCGATTTTGTGCGTTTTATTCGGGAATGAGTTCGAGAGCTTCTGTATGCGTGTCTTCCACACGACGAGCGAGAGGGAGAGGAGATAGAAATTGAAAAACAACATTGCAAATCTATGAGGCGCGCACGCACTCGTTGTCTCACTCCCACGCACTGAAACCTAGCTATGGGCCGCTACGACGCCATGTTTATACACATAAAATGAGCGGGGAGAGAACGATAGTCGGGCAATCCGCATCCTCTCTGGAGCCAATATTTGTTGCGCTCTATTTACACTACAAAAGCATTTGCCAACTAGCCGTTTTCAATGCGCGTCCTTGGCACACACTCGGAACTTTGTTTTAAAACCATTTTCAGAATTCTACGTACCATATTTTTAATGGTTTTTATATTTTTCCGTCAGCCGACACACATTCACACATTCACACATTTACTAGTGGTGTCACTATCGATGGTACCGCATCAGCACGGAACAGTGCCTAAAAAATATCAAATGTGAATCAGGGTTCCGTTTTGTCGCGATATATTTCTTTCTGATAAATATTGCTTTAAAATACTAATGGTAAAAGGCACCCGACAAGTGCTTTTAAAGTGCTGGTATTAATAGTTAATAATTTATGTTACAAAGCATCGTTTTTTTCTTTAAATTATACAGATCTGATTTTCTAAAATTTACTCTACACTATCGAAGACACCGATGGCCGGCCGGCAAGGAATTCATCGGTACTATCGAAAGTGGTTGGTCGCAAAAAAAGCGCGCGACGTTTTTCAGGAAAAAATAATTTGGAAACGCCGGCGTGACCTTTAAATAAACCATATATTTATTTGCGTACACGAAATTCAGTGATCACACACTTACCATGGGAATTTTGGGCTTATCAAAGCTCATAGCGGACCTGGCGCCCCAGGCCATACGTGAGAGTGAAATGAAGCATTTCTTTGGTGAGTCTGAATTTGGTTGAACAAAAGAACTCCTCTTAAACCTTATCCGATCCTATTCTTTGTAGGACGTAAGGTGGCTATCGATGCCAGTATGTGCTTGTACCAGTTCCTCATAGCAGTGCGGTCGGAGGGAGCTCAGCTGGCGACAGTCAACGGAGATCCCACGTCCCATTTGATGGGCATGTTTTATCGCACCATCCGACTACTGGACAACGGAATAAAGCCTGTGTATGTGTTTGATGGTAAGCCTCCAGATTTGAAGTCCGGGGAATTGGCCAAGCGTGCCGAGCGCCGTGAGGAGGCGGAGAAGGCCCTAAAGGCTGCCACGGACGCCGGCGATGACGCGGAGATCGAGAAATTCAATCGTCGCCTGGTTCGAGTGACCAAAGAGCATGCTCGCGAAGCCAAGGAACTGCTGTCCCTGATGGGAGTTCCCTATGTAGACGCCCCCTGTGAGGCAGAGGCACAGTGTGCAGCGCTCGTCAAGGCTGGAAAGGTGTATGCCACGGCGACGGAGGATATGGATGCGCTGACATTTGGGTCAACAAAGCTGCTTAGGTATCTCACATACAGCGAGGCGCGCAAGATGCCCGTCAAGGAGTTTAGCTACGACAAGCTGCTCGAGGGTCTAGAGGTCAACAACCGCGAGTTTATCGATCTATGCATCCTCCTGGGCTGCGACTACTGCGAGAGCATCAAGGGCATCGGCCCGAAACGTGCAATAGAGTTGATCAACAACTATAGGGATATTGAGACCATACTGGATAACCTGGACACTAGCAAGTACACGGTGCCTGAGAACTGGAACTACAAGGTGGCGCGCGAGCTTTTCATTGAGCCGGAGGTGGCCGATGCCTCTGCCATTGATCTCAAATGGACGGAACCCGACGAAGAGGGACTGGTCAAGTTCCTCTGCGGGGACAGGCAGTTCAGTGAGGAGCGTGTTCGCAACGGTGCCAAAAAACTTTTGAAGTCCAAGCATGCTCAGACCCAAGTGCGACTGGATAGCTTCTTTAAAACATTGCCCAGCACACCGAATGCCGTGCATGCAGCCAAGCGCAAAGCCGAGGAGGCAAAAAAGAGTGCCAACAACAAGAAGGCCAAAACCAGCGGCGGTGCCGCACGTGGCAGAAGACCCAAATAGTTTTTCTCTACAAAAACGTACAATTTCTTTAATCTTAACTTAAACATATTTAAAGCCTACAATTAATATTATAACTACATCGATTTGAGCTTATTTCTAGTTGGTCTTCTTTTGGATTTGTGTGGATGTGGATGTTAACCTGCGTCTGCGTCTGCGACTACAGCAAATACTGCTTGGCCAGGGCGCGAATGAAGCGAGACTTGCGCACCATGGCGCTTTCTCGTTTGATTTCCTCGTTGTTATTGGCATTCAGCTCCAAAGTGCCCATCATGGAGATCTGTGTGAAGGGCGAAAGTGAGAGAGTGAGTGAGTGCTTCTCAGGGATTGGGGGATTGGCTTACCGCCTCCAGTTTTCGACTGTGCTCGCCTCGTTTCGCATGCAGATTGACAATGAACTCCAGGAGCGTGGTGTCCCATATGCAGCTGTAGTACGAATCCATGGCATCTGTGAAATTTGACGACTTCTCGCTGAGATTTTTAAACACAATCCCATAGTCGATTTCCTCGAGAAACTGACACAGGACGGTGGCCTGCATATGACAACCCAAATTGGCGGCACAGCGAATCATCTTGCGAATGACATAGTCATCCGCCACATTGCGCTGCAGCGGCATCGTGCAGTAGTCCGTTCCGGTCACCAGGGCATTTACATAGCACCGCATCGCGGATTCGTTGTTCCCGATGGCCAGGTCCAGGTCGCCCTTCATTTTAAGCCAGGAAATGGTCTGCGGATAGTATGACAGAGCCTCGGACAGCAGCCACTGAAGAGTCTCGCAAACACTACGCAGGCTAAAGCTAATGGGGCTAAGAGGATGGGAACGAAATTCGCTTAGAGAATATATATAAATAGGGGACAATGTATGGGACTCACTTGTTAACGCTGGTGGGCCAGAGGTGCATGTATTCACAGCTCAGATCGTGATTCGGATCATCCTTGAGTATGTTGTGCAGCTTTCCCAGCATGGAGATGGCCAGACCAAATATATTCTGATGGCGAACACGTTGCAAGAATGTTTGGAGAGAGCTACTGCCGCCACTCGATGGCGTTGAACGCTTGGGCACATTGAGGAACATGCTCACCATCAGCTCCCACGCATCGCGAGACACCTTCTTGGTGGTCTTCATCTTCTCCATTTCAATGAAGGTGGCTGCAAAGGCCAGAGGTAGTTCGAGAGGACCCGTCCGCTTTTCCAGGTAGAGGAGTGGCGGGAAATCTGTCAGATTGAGCAGCATAATGGCACAGCTTTCAAGTATGTCCGGCCTAGGCAATATGGAGTCGCCCGCCTGGAGTACACTTAGACACTGCTTGCATCGCGTTCCCAGCGACTGCAGGTCGAGCGGTTTCTGGTGCCACTCCTCCAGGCTCTGCGTTATCTGGATGTTCAGAATCTCCCACGTGAGCAGTTTGCACATCAACTGAGTATTACCGGCTATCTCCTGGCGCTGCGTCTCCGACTTTAACACACTCAGCATGGACACGGCCTCAATGTAGTCGCCCCTCGTCGCCAGTTCTCGCGCCTTTCCGAGCAGCACGTAGCTGAAATCCTGCAGGAAACTCACTGGCATCGCCATGACCATTGCCTTTAGTGGCTGAGGCACATCCCAGCTGGGATTTATGGACCACAGGGGTTTTTCCGGCGCCGTTCCACACAGCTTCACTAGCAGAATCCTTACGGTGTTCGCATTCGTACAGCTGATCAGTTGCCGCTCTAGGGCAGCGACGTCCACACGGGCACCTGCATAGAAAACACAAAGGGGTTAGAAATGGGAAAACCGCATCGATTGCCACTTACTTTTGGAGTGGCACATCCAGTCGGTGAGCGAGGCCAGAGAACTGTTGGGCACGGGAGGGGCTGCCTGCAGCATCTGATCATCCAAATCGTCCAGCTCCTCGACCGTAAAGATACCCAAATCCCGCACGATCTGCAGCAACTGCTTCGACTGCTGTGGCTGAGCCTGGTGGAGCATACAGTCGATGAGGAAATGCTTGAGGGCTGACTGTTGCGTCTTGTTACAGTTTGGCAGCACCTCTGTCAAGGCCTCCACAAGAGGCGGTAGATAGTCCAGCTCGCGATACTTCTCAAAGTACTCCACGCTGCCAAATATGCTGCCCCATTCGAAGATGTTACGCACCATATTGAGGGCCGCCACCTGCAGCTGCAGTTGCATCGTATCCTTGAGCTGTCCCGTAGAGATGGCGCCCTCAAGGTCCAGCTCCAGATTGCGTCTACTGACCAGCGGAATTTCGCGTGCTTGGTTATCCAGCCGCAGAATCGTCACAATCTCTGCATAGTTGTTCAGCAACGATTGATGGAAACGCTCCATCAGAGTATGCTTCTGGGCGCTGATTCCGCAGGCCAGCAGCAGCCCCTCCAGCTCCACGGGCCGAATGTGACAGAAGTATAGGGTGGTCTGCGGTGATATCGCCTGCAGGTTGTTGTTACAGGCGGCAGCCGCCTCCCTCGCCAGCACATACTGTTTGGTGTACAGGTAATAGTGGGCCAGCTCGTAGTTGATTTGGGCCCGCAGCTCCTGGGGGGTGATCAGATGCATTATGTCGTAGTTCTGGCCAGTGCTGACATCATCACAATGCAGGGTCACAAAGCTGTCGTAGTGGAACACGTAGAACGGCTTGCTGGATGCGCAAAGCTGCTGCAGATACTCAATCGAAGGCTGCGTTGGCGACTCCAGGAACTGTTGCAACTGATCGATCGGCTGGAATCTGAAAGGAGAACTCTCCTTGACGAGCTGCAGCCGTAACAGTAGGCGGTGATAGATGGTGAGGGCAAACCTCGCAGCTCGCTCGTTCCCAAATGCGGCTAAGGAAAATACAAAGATAAAGATTATCCAGTTCTTTCGTTTCAGCCGTCGCTTGGACTTACATATTTTCAAATCGAAGTCACTGGCAAGGGGTATGCTCAGATTGCGGCCATAGCTAATGGTGCAGAGATCACGCAGCAAGGCAAGCTGCATTAGCACGGGCATGTTCTTCTCCAGCATGTCTAGGTCCCATCGCAGCCATGTGGCAACCTTCAACTCGAGAATTTTCAGTGCCAACTGCTTTCTGGTGAGATCCAGCCCATTCTCCTCTGGCCACTGCTGTTGCTGTGCGAGGGAGGAGACATTGAGAGGTGCTGAAGCCGCGGGCGTGGGTGAATTCACTGCTCCTCCCACAGTGGCGCCCGGCAGGTTTTGCAGGTCACTTCCAGGCGTCACCACGGACGCTACCGCCGTGTCCGGCGTCACGCTGATGAACTGCATGATCAACTCGAGGGCGCTGGGTTCTGTAAATAACCGTAGTTGTGTCACCAGAGCTCTACAAGTGGGAACTTTGCCTCTTACCGGGATGTGCGCGCTGCAGGTGCTGCGTTATCTTGTGCGGATCGAGCAGGAATTCAAACCACAAGACCGTCTCGGCCGCCAGTGGCACCGGCTTGGGTTTGAGCGGATCATCCATTCTGTTTTTCGACAAATTGCAATAGTCAAAACAAAATTAAACTCTGTGGGCAGCGGACCGATAAAATATAAAACGAACTTGGCCCACTTAAGCCCCTCTATTTAAACAGTTCAACGACTTGAGGTAAGTGGCGGAAAATATTACTGATTGTAAGTTCTTCTTGTAGATCCATGCCAATCTTTAATCTGAACTTAAAAAAAAACACGATATCTTTCACCCGAACTGCTCAAAAAATAAGAAATTTTCATTATTTTCGGTTAAATATTAAAATATTCCCTTGGTCTACAATGGGTTAATCATTCTCCGTCAAGGGCTGGAAACCATATTGCTTGATTTTGATATTCGATTTGCTGTTACTAGCTAGATGGGACTTCGATACCTGAACACATAATTTTATATGATTGATAGATCAATTTCTTAAAAGATATGTTGATTTTAATTACTCTGTTTTATTGAATTGTGTCTAGAATTAGGTTTAAAAAAATAGGTCAACAAAAAATTAGAGCAAAAAACGTAAGTGTGTTCGGAATAAAGCGTAAGTGTTTATGGAATGTTACGTGATTGTTGCTGGTCAACAGGTATCCGCTATGACTATATCCCCTTTATACCATATATAAATTAATTAATATGACAATTCTATTTTTTAAGCTGATTTGAAACATTACTAATTACTTTTCTCAGATTGACATGTTTTAGACAAATTTTGGAATACGATTAGTGTCCTGTATACATATAGCGATCATATTATATTTCGTTGAAATAGCTTTAAAACAGAAACTGACTATTTTCTGCCATCATTGGAACTTCAGGTGACAAACATTTCCTTAGTTCTATCCTTTTCCCTAGGGCATGTGTTGCTGGCATCTTTTCGACACTATTGACTGAATATGAGTTTTGCGCGCCAAACAGAAATTGTTTGAAAGTGAATGAATTAAACGCAATCCTTGGGATACATTTTGAAGTGAAGCAGTGATTGGAGAGATCGAAAACTCAAAAAAGATTCTATACATTTTGTTCTTAAATATACCTTTTAAATTTTATAGATTAAATAATCAAAGCAAAAATACTTTTCAGGGCTTCAGAATGGTAGATAGTATCGATAGGCGGAAAGTATTTCGTTTTGCAGCACTGCAGTTTGTATCGATAAGTGTCCATGCGATATGTATCGTCTGGCTGTTTTTGTTGTAGCGGAAACGGAAGTATTGCGGTCTCTTTTTAACAAAAGTTATCTGGGAATAAAAACCGTAAGACATGTAAATAAAACAGCTTCCTCCCATTTAAATCTCTCCCATTTAACCCTGCGCTTTCAGCTGCAGCAAAAATAAATTAACTCGAAATTCTTTTATTTATGCTCATATGACTGACACATTTTCGTGCCATCTTCCACCTATGGATGTCATAAAATTCTAATTTATAATACCTTTGCACATAAATCGATAAAGAAATAGAATACAGAATCAACAAACGTTAAGCGACCAAGGGGGAGTACCCAGTACCCAATCATTTCATTCTGCATAAGAAATTTTCTGTGGTTCATTAAAAATGTAAAATAGCTTGGTATTTGGTTAATTTATGCAAATATGTTTGCTGGACTTTAGGCAAGGTGCTCCATAAGTTGGGCTCACAGTCCTCTCTC